TATTAAATCAAGTGAATCATGAATTTCGTCTTATCATTCACTAATCATCATCGTAGTGAATTTTACTTACGAATCCCTATATATATTACTTGAAATTAAGGCTGATAACTAAGCTCCTAAATTTTCAGCAGTTGAAAGAGAATAGAGGTGCTGGTACCATTTCTCTTGATCCAGAGGTGAAAACTTTCATACCCAAGCGGTGAGGTTATATAATGGGAGAAAGTAATACGAGCAAAATAAATTGCTTATGCTATCACCATGATAAAATCCAAAATGAAAGGGATTCTATTCATGGTAAAGCTAATAAGTGTAAATGATATAAGCTCTGTTAATCTATGCTCCAATCCACATAAACTTGTGGATGAATGCTATTGTAAATTAGCAAAATGGACCACCATGTAGTTTTACCCCCTACACAAGACATGGTTAAAAATGACAACAGTTTTAGAAAAATCCAATCTAAAATTGTGAGACAAATGTCGACCTGGCCAGATTACTGATTTAAAAGCCATTTGCTCCATAAATCCTGTGAGTATCCTTTGGTGAAAGGTGGTCATCTGCATTGAGAAATATGCTAATAAAATTTGTGGATGTTGTGGAGTCATAAAACATAACAACTTGGACAGTCAAAAGGCTTTTAAATTGACAGAGATGTTAAATGGAGTCCGTAATGTACCTTTAAAGTATATTACTGAAGCACACAATGAGAATTGCTTGCGACATCGAGGCTTACATCTGAGATACATTGTTGTGGGCCATCTACATAGGAGTTCGATTAAGGTTTCCTGTCTAAACTATTTAAAAAGTGCTTTGACGATGGTTTGGGCTTCTCTATATTTTTTATAAGGATGAACATCAAAAAGTAGTTTGGGCCCATAAAAAATTAATTTTTGCCCAAAGTGTTTTGGCAATTTCGGCTAAGAGGAAACCTTAGATTCGATGCAAGAGGTTAGTATTGGTAATTATTTTTTACAAATTGTTTTTCTCCACACTTATTGGGATGCTAGAAACTTCAGTAAATAAATCAAATTCAATCAATATTTCCAATTAAATTAAGACTGTTCACTCCTCTTTCAAAGCAACATCTAACTACATTCGTGAAGACCCAAGCTTCTACTTCTGCATCCAAGATTTCTCTACATTTCATCGACTTCTTGATTCTTTTATTACCTTTCTCATTTGATTTTTAAGGAACTCTCAGCGACTGAAGCCATGATTTATCGATTTAATGGCTTTTTGACATAGTAAAACCAAAATTAAATTGCTTGCACTTGATAATTAGAAAATTTTTATTATTTGTGAAATTTTTTTAAAAGAGAAAATTAAATAAATTTTTATTATTTATTATTGCATAGTTTTTTAAAAAAAAATTTATAAATACAATGAGAAACAAATCTATCTTTAATATTAATATATTTTTCAAAAAAAAAACGTGACGGCAGTGGTGCTTATCTATATGTTTCTTCTGTATATCACTAAATACTTGACCGAGTTGAACGATCTTAGATTAAAATAATGCTATTAAATGTCATATTCAAAAATTAGATATTAATATGTAGCAATGTTGTTCGAAAATTGATTTAAAATTGCAACTTTTAAAAAAAATTTAATAATTGATATTTGAGTCTGAATAAATGCGCAGTAAAAATGACATTCAAACAAGTTATTGAACGAGAATAGGAATAGGAATAACATCAATATACAATCATTTTAACTTCGTGAAATGTAAAATAAAAAAATGAATAATTGTTCAAATAAGACAAAAAAAAAACAAACATCGCACCACTTATAACAATTTCTTTATTGATTACATTGGTTTACAATTGGAAGGTAAATCTGCATTAGATAGATTAGGTAATCCATTTTCATCGAATGATAAATCTGGTGCAAAGTCTTGAAGAATTTCTGGTGGTGGTTGCCCAAGTTCTTGTAACTTGAAGTGTTGAGAAATAATGTGGTACAAGAGAAAAATAGAATAAATAAAAAACAATTGATTAAAGAAATAAAAATAAAATAAAAATAATTTTTTCATAGACATACTTCTTGCATCAAGTTTACTATAACCTTGTTTTGTTGTTCATTATCATTGTCGAAATCTGGTGATTCATACTCTTCAATAATTTTTTTGATACAATCTGATTGTTTTTTGAAATTTTCATAATCAATATGAGGTACTTTTCCATTTTTTTCATTAAGCCATTTTGAATACTGTGGAAAAGAATTTGACAAATTAATAAATAAAAATATTTGAATTTCTTTTTCAACCCAAATAATTAATCACCTTTTCATGGAATTCTTTCATTGGTTCATATAAATATTCTTTAGATGCCAAAGTTCCCATCATTGATTCCATTATTTTATCCATTCCTCCCATTCCTCCACACATTCCATCAATATTATCTTCTGTAAGGCCCATATTCTCTAAATGTTTTAACATTTCTTCCATAAGTATATCTGTTGATTCTTCTGTAATGCTGGCCTATATAAATTGACAATGAAAGGTAAGTAAAATGAATATGTAAACAGACAAACAGACAGACAGATAGACAGACAGACAAACGGTTACATCAACTTGTTCAGAACTATTTTGTAATTTATTCATAGTTTGATTGATTTTATCTTGAAATGAATCACCTTTGGATTCATTTGGCAACTTTCCTATTTTGTTACCACTAACATCATTATTACTACCTTTACCACCAAAATCACTCAAGTTGTTAATTCCACCAACAGAATTCATAAAACCTTGTAATGTACTTCTGAGCTCTTCATTTAGCTCTTTATTTGTCACCTCATCTACCAACTTTTCCATGTCTGCTGCTAAAATTTTTGCATATTCTTCATCCATGTCTGAAGTAAGTTCTGCCAAATTGATATCATCATCATTTAACAAACCACTATTATTTATTGTGGAAAAGGTAGATAATGACGAGTCCGTTAAAGATGAAGAAGTCAATGAAGATTTTGTGGGAGGTTGTGAGGAAAAATCATCAAGAACCTCTATTTATTAATTTAAAAATACAATATGTTTAATAGTTTACTTTGAAAGAAAAAGGTTATAGTTTATAACTAACCGTCAAGTAGATCGTCCTCTACGTCTAATTCATCATCAACTGTGACTTTTTTATTTTCAAAAACCATATCAAAAAATTGATTGAAAAAAATAAAATAAATAAAATATATAAAATATAATAAATAAATAAGAGAGAGAGAGAGAGAGAAGGAGATGGTGTGTAACAATCATTGATTGATCAATTTTTAAGTGTAACTACAATCAGGCTTCAGATAAAAAAAATCCATAATTTTTATTGAATATTTACTTCCATTCCAGAGGTCAATAGCATTTGACAATCGATATATGCTCTCTTATGGAGCTGAATATTTCTTAGTAAGAATATTGACGAACTTAATATTACGATGAAAACTTGATGATATTTGGTTATTTTCATTGGTGTATATGTACATACTCACTAATGCAATGACTTGGTGTGAAGACGCAGCTGCGAATATACGTCCTTAAAACGTGAAATTGGAGTTATTTGATTAATTTCTTTTAGATCTTCAAGTATTATGATTTTTACTGACGTTAATCTCAGTGTAAGAAAGAAAGTTCTGGTTATGAAAAGGTTATATAGGAGAAGATTGAAACGGAGCTACAAATCATACACATATTCATTTTATAATTGACAATTTTTATTATGGGAACAGTCAAAATAATGCAATAATGGAGAGATTTGTGAGGAATTATTAAGGACAAAGAAGCAAAGATTGCTTTAGATGAATTGGATACATTAAATGAATGATGTAGGTTTTGAAGTAGTTAGACCGGCCTGAGAAACTAGATCAAATAACAAGAGTGTTATTGTTAGCATTGTTAAATTTCTATTATTTTTATAAAAAATAAGATTATCATTATTAGTCAGAAATAATGATGTTTGTTTCAGTTAGGGGAAAGGTTTGGAGGTCACCAAAATATGAACGAATAAAAAACCACAGGTAAAATTAGGGATCGTATGTGTGTGTGACAATTGCACCACTGTTGAATATTGTGATGACTAGTTTACCAGGATCACCAGTTGCATGGGGAGTATGATAGATTTGTTGTATGGTCATCACTTTATTTATAACTTGTATCGGGTGAAAAAGGCAGTTTAGCTAGTGCAATATGAAAGTATTCTCAAAAAATTGCATAAAGAGTTGATCATATGATGTACATTCAACTAGGAACTAATGATTGCTTATCTTGAAACAGGACGTCCCAAAGTCTACCCAAGTTAAGCACATGATAATAAAACGTTAGCATGTATCTCAAAGTGATTCTATCGACACCTGATGAGAGATCTAGTATCAATATTTACAGTTAATGTTGCAGGCAAATGTTTTATATAATTATTACATTTAACTTGATGGAGGTTTATTGCTGAAAATGAAAATTTTGTAGATGATGTATTAAAAGTTCATGTTATGTCCAAGGAACTTGGAATTTACAAGTGTCACTTACTAGAACGAGCTTCAATCCCCTTGCATACAACATTATCAAGCGGTGTTTACTCGCCTATTCATATGTTGCTAACTTTAAGGGTTGATTTTTCTTTTTTTTTCTTATAGCATTTCAAGAGTAAAAATAATATATTATTATATAAATCTGATAACAACTCCTAAAAATACATATCGTTAATAATAAAAAATACTTGAGAATTTTTATATATAACTAGTTCTTCAATGAAATGCGTGAATGTTTTTGTATGAAACATAAGTTCATAAAATGAATAATTCGAATAAGATTTGTATTACAAATAGAAACTTCACTCTACTCTTATAATAAAAAATGACGTTAAATCTTAAAATGCAAGCTTTGGTAACACACGTGAACTGATTATTATACAAATACAAACACTAGTTACCATAAAAGATTTTATATCATTTATCTTTTTTGCGATTATTATAATATAGATTATTTATTTATCAATTGATTTAATTCTTCAAAAAATAAAATTAATATGTCAAATCAAGGCTCAAAGAACCTTAAAACATTTACCTATCAGGATTCTTTACCAAGGCTTCCAATTCCCTCACTAGAAGAAACTACCACCAAATACCTACGTTCACTTCGTCCACTTATTTCAAAACAGGAACTTGCGGTGGTTGAAGAACAAGTTAAAGATTTTATAAAGCCAAATGGACTGGGTAATCTGCTTCAACAAAGATTAATTGATATTGATAATATCGCACCTGATAATTGGCTTGACGATACATGGTGGATAAAAAAAGCCTATCAAGAATGGAGAGTTCCTTTGATTATTAACTCTAATTGGTTTTTTATGTATATTGATGACTCGAACACTCCTGGTGAATATCTCGCTTCTCGTAATGATACTAGATTCAAAGGAATATTCTCAGAATTTCAAGTTAAAAGAAGTGCACATCTAATCAATAGAATGTTACATTATAAAGAATTGCTTGACAAGTAAATTAATCAATTATTTAATTATTTGATAGATTGATTGATTCATTCATATATTGGCAACTTATTTATGAATATACATACATACATACATATATATGTATAATAGTGAACAAATTCCACCAGATGTCACACGTTCTTATCCTTTATGTATGCATCAATACACACGTGCTTATGGTTTGACTCGTATCCCACAACACGGTTGTGATGCGTTAAATCATACAAAACATCCGAATCAATTCAGACACATTATAGTTACTGCAAGGAATCAATATTATATTTTAGAATGTTATGATGTCGATGGGAATAGATTGAGTGATGGTGACATTGAACAGTAATTATTTTTATTTCAACAATCATTATTATATATATAATTACAATTATTTATTTATTTCTAATAATATATATATATATATATTTAACAAATAAATAATATTTATTAAAGGCAAATTTGGGAAATAATTAACAATGTTTTACAAACAGAATATGATCCTCCAGTTGGAATACTCACAGGAGATGATCGTGATAGTTGGACCGTGGTAAGTGCAATCTGCCATCATCATCTTTACACAATTTTCTATGATTGTTCTCAATGAGTGTTTACAAAAGAAAATTTTTTTTTATTTAATGTTATTTAAAAGGCGCGTGAACATTTACTTACACTTTCTCCACAAAATCGCGAGACATTAAATTTGATCGAAAGTGCATTATTCGTTGTTAATTTAGATGATTATTCGTCCGGTGACAATCTAGATCAATTTCTTGGAAACATATTCCATGGAAATGGCTATAATCGTTGGTTTGACAAGTCAATGTCTATAATAGTGGAAAGTAATGGAGTGGCAGGTATGCATGGTGAGGTATGCATACGCTATCTGACTACCCATTTATTTATTTATGTTAACTTAAAAGTTAATTCCTTTCTTTCAATATATTTATAGCATTCTCCATGTGATGCATTAGTAACAGCATTTATCGCTGAATGGACGCTCATAGAACCAACTGATTTGGATGCAAAAATCTCGGGCCGAAAAATTCCATCGCCACGTAGAATCAGATTTGTCACTAATCAACAAACACTTAAATTCATTCAAGATGCAGAAAAACGTATATCACAAGTTATCGCTGATTCTGATGTTACTGTATTACACTCTTCAGAATACGGTACACATTTTATAAAAAAAATTGGTAAATATAATCACTACTTGTTTTAATATTATTTTGATTGATTGATATATTATTTTTTTGATTATTATACAAAAAAATTCTTATTCTTTTATAATTATTTTATCCCTACAATTATTAATATAAGCCAAGTGTCCTCCGGATGCATATATTCAAATGGTTATTCAATTAGCATATTACAAACTTCACAGAAAAGTTGTCCCAACTTATGAAACAGGTTCAACTCGACAATTTAGACATGGCCGTACTGAGACCATAAGAACATTGAGTGCGGAGAGTAAGGCTTTTGTTGAAGGAATGGAAAACAATTCTTTATCAGTTAGTAGTATATTTGTTACTTATCCTCCACCACCTAATCTTCGCATGAATTAATTTATATATATATATATATATATATATAACATTAGACAAAAGAAAAATATGGATTATTACAAGCAGCAGTAAAAGCACATAGTGAATATACTCGAGATGCATCAAATGGAAAAGGTTGCGATCGTCATTTACTTGGTCTTAGGCTATTGCTAAAAGAAGGTGAATCTCATCCATTATTCCAACATCCTATTTTTGCAAAAAGTCAAGAATGGTTATTGAGTACAAGTGGTTTAACCACTGGCACTAAATTTAA